GATGCTGGTGCTTATAAGTGGAACAGCAATACGAGTAATTCTTATGTAATTTGCAAAACACTTTAACAATCAGTTTTAAAAACATTAGCTATCAAGCCTTCTGAATTTTTTCCAAAGCCACTGAGTCTGGGAAGGAGCTGCTAATCAGAAACCATAATGAACCTATAAAACTGTAAGGTAGAGACCTACTTGTTAACCTCAGGGGACTGAAGGTATGGAGGGGATCAATTTGGGCTGCACTTGCAATTTTTATGCCAGAATGAAAACTGTTCAATATAAAGAGAACAGGATGAGAGACAAGAGCAGGGAACTGGGCAGAGGCTGCTTGAGGAGTCTTTCCACAGGGAGTGAGGGTACTGATCCTTCAGAGATGCTCCGTGAGCAGAGCCTGGGGCCAGGCTCTTCCATTTTTGAAGCTGATGTGAAGCTGATCTTGTACTGGGATGTGAAGAAAGGGCAGAAGCATTGCTGAAGCTGCCTTCTAGCAGGAAGAGTGCCACACTATAAATTAATATGGCAAAGAAATAAATAGCCTGTTTAAGGGGGCTGTACACCTCAAAACAGAGTCTCAGGATCAACTGTGGTGTTCAAGGAAAGAGCTTTTGCTCTTGACACCAGGTTTGTTTGGAGGCTTGTGCTGCTGGTGCTAGTTTTTGGGAGGTGTCACAACATAGGACTTAGTGCCACATGCCCAGGGGTGCAAAGCTGTTTGTGCAGCCCAGAGTTATGACCCCTTCTCAGCTGGAACCATGCAGGATGGTTCTTCAGGCTCCTGGGTGCAGGGTGTGCAAATCAGATGGGAAGGTGCCTCCAAAAGGCTTTGTAATCTCAGAAGGCGCCGTGGCACTGTGACATCTGGGCTCTTCTCTACCAGCAACCAACCTGAAAATGTGGGCACTACCAGGGATATAGGGGACAGGAGTCATTCAGGAGGGGTCATTCTTCTTTCCTGGGATGATATAAAAGAGTAATCAATTTAGCATTGTTTGTGATGTTCAAGGGTTGAGAGGCGCTCTGAAATATTCTGTACTAACACATTGCAGTGCTCCATGATACCTGCTGGGCTTATTTTTTAGAAACTTTGGAGTAAGTGAAGTGCTAATTGGAATAAGTGTTTAGTACATGGTGAGCTTTCTGGACTATGCAGAGAAAGGTCTGATTTTCTTCCTGAATTAAGTAGGTACTTAACTCTAGCTCTTTATAGTTGCTGTTTTAGCGACAGGCTGAACAATTTTCTGGTTTATGGACTGCAGTTATTTAAGTACTTTAGTTAAAGCTCTTGGCATAGTTTTTAATCACTTTTGGAAAGTACTAACACCAAAATTTATTAATTCCATACATATGTATGAAAAGAAACTTCAGAGCCATGGGCAGCCCTGCTGCCTGGTGGTGGCAGGAGAGTTTTGGACTGGTTGAGGTGCCTGTTGTTGACTGATTTCGAGCAAAGGGCAGTCCAGGAAGCAAAATCTACGTTTCTTGTAGAGTGTTAGAAAAGCAGTGAAAATCATTCAGGTGGCTTCAGTGACAGCAATGACCTCAATTTACTGAGAGAGGAAGGATAGAAGGATGCCAGTGCCCTGGTCTCACTCCTGATGTAGCTGGGGATCTGCGGTTGCTCAGAACCTTTCTTCCAGCTTACAACTGCAGTGAGGCTCTCACCATAGGTCTGGGTTCACTTTCATATTTTAATTACTCCTTCCACTGCTTCCACATCTACAGCATCTTTGGGTGGACAACAGGGCTGTTCCTTGGTGCTACGCACCAGTCCTAGGGCACAGAGATAAAGAGAAGCATCCCAGGGATTGAATTCTTGACCTTCCTACATTCCAGGAAAGTAAGTGCTGCTGCCAGCCCATCATGGCAGTCCAAGACCTCTGTTGATGCTGCTCAATACAGCTGCAACCTCTGGATAAACTGGGGGATTAGTCTGTATTTGAGGAGCCCATCAACACCCTGCTGTTGCCCCTGGAGGGCAGAGGACAGTGTGCTCTCCTCTCCTTGGCACCAACCCAGGACTTTTACTTAAATAAATTAATTATTTTCAGAAGTTTAATCACCAAATACTCTTTCTTGCAGTTCCCAAGACGTACAGTGCTTTGTTGCAACATTTGTCATGTTTAATAGATCATCCTTTTCAATTTTTTACTCTTGAAGAAGCTGAAAGATCATCATGAAGAAGAGCAGGTCAGCATGTGGCCACATCATAGAAAGTACCATCACTCCTTTTTCCCCACACAATTTCTTGCTTATTTTTTTTTCAGTTTAAATGTCTTCTAAATTTACAGCAGTTGATCTGTGGATGAACAATAGCTTTTTGGATTAATCTGCATCCATATGTGGGTTTTTTCCTGAGAGGGACAGCCATCCACCTCAGACACGGTTATTTGGGCAGTTCCCGAGTGGAAGATGATGCTCCAGGCCCCTGTGTGTGTGAGTATGAGTGGGTATTTGTGCACTTGTGTTCCTATAACTGTGTAAAAGAGATAAATTTTTACCTTGTAAGCAAAATTCTTCTTATCGATTAATTGTACGGGCAGAGTGACTTACTGCTGTGAAGGCACTAAAGACAGGAAGGGCAGAACATAATTTTAAGATTGGTTGTAATTCAGAGATATTGCTTATGTTACTGGGTCTTGACAAGATATTTTGAAAAAAAATTGCTCTAAGCTCAGGTGCCAGCTATGGAGATAAATGTGTGATCATGTAACTGCTGTTAGAAATACCACAAAAATATTCCAGAACCCTCAAGACTGGACTGAGCATGCATGCTCTGGCTCCAGGAGGGTGGTGGCAACACAGAGAGTATGAGTACTTACTTGGGTGGTGGGGAGAGGCTGTTGCTCCAAAGGAGAGGACAGTCCAGGGTGCTGAGCAGGGGACCTGTGAGGGACTTGGGGCACGGGTGATGTGTGAGCCCTGGCTGAAGCACAGCTGTTTCTGTCCAGATAGTGCATTGGATTTTCCTTTGGGACTGATGGGTAATTAAAATTATGGATGACAGCTGTGAAGGTAAAGGTATTGTTTGGTCCTGAGAGTCTGCTTTTCTGGGCTTCTATAGGGATACATGGTAAAAGAGCCTTGGGAGTCCTTGAGTATGATAGAGGTGACATGACACAGCCATGGTAATTCCCTCCAAGTCCTCTATTAGTCATGAGAGTAGGCAGTGTACCATACTTATGTAGCCTTTTTAGCAGCAATTAAAGAAAATATTCTAGGCTTCAAGGGGACGAAGAGGGAAAGGATTCTTTTGGAGGCTTACAGATGTGAAGTCAATCCCTAATGGGATCAGTCATCCCTAGGCAAGTCCAAAGCCTTCTCTAGCTTTGAACTCCATTGCAGTGTGCCAAAAAATGGTGCCCCTTCATAGCAAAGCTTCCCTCCAAGCAAGGAGAAACCTGGAGGGTGACATCCTCATTTGCTGAGGTGTGTTCTTTTACTTATGCCTCTGCAGTTCTGGCCCTAGGTTTCTGTGGCAGCAGTGATGTACAAAAAGAGTACAAAAGGCTAAGACACAAATGTGCCTGCAGCTTTGCCTGTTCTTGCCTTTGTAAAACAAATTTGGAGACTTCCAGTAGAGATCATGGCATGTTGCATTCACAAAACCTGGTCTGAATGCTTGAATCATTATAAGTACAGACATTTAGCAATGAAGATAAAACATTATTTGCACTTGCACCTGGAGAAGGAACAAGTCCCAGAGACCACATTTGCCACTTATTAAGAAAAGGGTTGTACCAGCATCTGTCTATGGGGTTTTACCAAAATTCCTCCCCAAATGTGCATTGCTGATCGTAGGCTGGTAAGCTTACTTACACTGTTGCACTGAAGTTTGGAGCAGAGAGTCTGCATCAAAATAAGCATCTATTTCCTTGGATTATTGCACAGGTATGAAAAAGAGAGATTAAAAGGAGTCACAGGAATGGCACTGCAATGTAAGTGCTGTACTGCTGTATTTAAAAGAGAGAAGATATTAACAGAAAAAGTTGTATTGGATGAGGCTACATGGCTTCAGCACATTTGCCTGCGATACTTCTGAGTCTGAATTAGGCACACACTCGGGTTTCCAGCCACTGGAAATATTGGCTATTTAAAGAGCAGTAAATGTTTCTTGGAGTATCAGAGATGTTTCATAATTGCTATGTGTTTATTGTAATGCAAAATGATGTTATTAGTTCAGCTGGTTGAAATTTTCTATGTGGAACATTAATCTTTTGAAAAACAAGGCTCTGCAGAAGTTGACTCAGGCTGTATAAAGGCAAACAATTATTTTAAAAGAAAATTATACTTTAAGGAAACAGGAAATATTTACTTTTTAAAATGTCATATTTGTGTGAAAAATATTGCCAGTTTTCCAGGCAGCACATCTGACAGTGTCTACAGTCTGTAAACTGATGATTTGTTTTGCCTAACTGAAGGTAAGGAGCATTTTTCTGTTCTGTTCAAAGAGGAGTGGATTCAGCCCCAGAAGACTGTCTGGTTACTAATATTTTTATACCCTTATGGTGTTTTCTAAGACATTATCCCTGCAAAGTAAATTGGAAGTGCAATTATGCCCCTTTTACTCAGCTTGTCAATAAAACCTTTCTAGGGCTAGTTAGAACTGCCAGATTTCTGTGGTAAATATGGTGTATGCTCAGATTATTTTTTTATATAAGGTGTACGCTCAGAAGTTGTTTCTCAGTGCTGGGAGTCTGGCCACCCTGGTCCTGTGTTTCCTGGGGCTGGAAAGACAATAGGTAGTTTAGGCTTCTCCACCAAGGAATACTTTTCTCTGTGTCTGTGTAGCTCATAGGCCTTGCCATTATGGAATTTCTTTGGTCACCTACATGTATATTCATAAATTGTACCCTTCTCTGGAAATAAGTAATCAAAATGGACCATTTCATTTTTTATAAGGCACTAGCTAATTAACTCTGCTTGTATGCATGAAAATGATTGTTTCTCAGGGTAATATTTGTTACTCAAAATTAACACAGACTATATACAATTGAAAAAAGAAAGATTTTTGGATATATATTTTATTTGACAGTGGTTTAGAATATCATACAGTAAACAAGATTTCTGTAAAAGTTAATTTATCCATAGTGGTGCGTTTCATAAAAATAGTTGCTCACTTACAGCCTTTCTGTGACTATTAATACATGGAATTATATTTATAGAGATAGAGCTGTACAGGGTAAATTCACAGCTAACACTACACAGAAATATTATTTGGAATGGGGTTTAGATGATGTGCTGTCTTCACAGGTTATCGATTACAGCCGCATAAAGCAATTACTGCACAAGGAGTAGCTGTGAACTGTGCAAATTAGAGTTTATGCAAGCATAATCTCAACTGTTTTTCAGATTTCATTGTTTGCTTTCTTTATACATAAAAATAAGATACTGGGACATGCATCTACACTACAGAAGCATTGTCCAAAATCAGATTCAATAAATTAATGGCAAATTATATTGGATTCTAGTTCAGGGGATAAAGATTTATTTTTTTTTTCCATTAAATAAGAGTTTTATAAACAGCTACATGGACTTGTGCTTTTATAGAAATTATAAATGGATTTTTCTTTCTAAAAAAAAAAAGTTTGAAAGCTGCAAAATCCTTGACTTGAGGCTTTTCAAATAATTGGACAGGAAGAAACATGTCTATAAATTTCGCAGTCCAGTGCAATGTTTGAGACATACAGTAATGTGCTAATTTCTTGGAACAAAGCCAATCTCAATCTAGTTTTTCAGCAGAGCATATGAGGAACTAAGATTGCTAGTGAACAATAATTTTCAAATACGAATTTTTGACAGTACTTAGCTTTATGGTTTTTGTTTTGTTTTTTTTTTTTTTTTTTAAATTACCAATGTATTATTGCCCAGGATTTTGTTTTAATTTTGACAGACGAATAAGCATATGCACACTTACACAGACACACACACATCTTTTTGAAACAAGATAATGACTGATTGACTGAACTTGGACTTATTTCCTGTGAAGGCAGACTGGAATGTTTACCTGGCACTTAAGGCTTGAAATTCAAAACAGACAAGCAAGAAAGATAAAAACAAAAAGACAAAAAGAAAAAAAAAATTGAGAAAGGGAAAAAAATGATAAAATGGAAACCATTTTAAAAGTGGAAATATATCAAATTTACTGAATGAGGACACCAACAACTGTATTTCAGAAACCAGTCTAATTATTGTTTACGTGTGCCTGAAAGGCACCTGCTCTGCCAAACTGAGGGGATGAAAGGTGAGAGTGTCCTAAATAAATGCTGATGGGTATGAAACAAAGCACTGTTGATAAGTGATGCTATCATCTTCTGCAGGAAGGAAAGGCCTTTCCTTAAGGAAACTGCAGCTTTTTCTCTGTAGCACTCCTCCTTTCATTGCAAGGGCCTTGCAGACATCTGGGGTTTGAGCCTGACCAATTGATTTGTGTGCTACCTCACAGGACTTGGGGAACCTGTAATAAATCGCTTTTGAGAATAATTTGCAAATACAACTCCACCCTAACTCCTTTCCAATGTACAGAAACATGGTTTGTTCACAAAAATGGCAGTAGAAATGGTATCACAGAAACTAATCCACCAGATTCCCCACTCCTCCCGTAGCGCCCAGTGAACTATGCTACAGGGTACCACGTGGACTATCCCGAAGCGTTAACAGTGGAGACGTGTCATGGGTGTACAGTCCCGAACGATGCTTCAAAGAAACCCTTTAACCCCTGTCTAGATATGTCGAGAACAATTTATTTACAACATTTTAGCTCCATGAAAAGATCTCTCTCGGTTTCAGCTTGCTCCGTGCAGTTTTATTTAAGGCGATGTTCCAGTTTGTGATTGCTCTAACTTGTTCCAGTTTCTTGATATAAAGTTTGAATGAAATCCAAGTCCTTCATGCAGTGGGAAAAAAATGCTAAAGCTACACTGCACTATCCTTCTCTGATGTACTGTCCTTCATATTGTTTTGGTTTCTTCCATAGCTGCCAAAGTCCCTAAAATGGAACTGGGACTTTAGGGTCGATTTTAAATCTCCGTGTTGACTATATGCTTTTGAACTTATTAGATACTGTGCACATTGTCATGGAATTACACACTAATGTTTTCATTCCTCAATGCTTTGTGTATATGTGTGATAGTTAAAATAAATTAAAACAAACCAATGTGAGACAAAAACTAAGAAGAATGTTCTGCGTCAGTTTGAGACAGTTAGAGGGCAACAGTCCCTTGCTTATCTGCTCATGGCAGAAGTACCAGACTTCAGGACGCTAGGTAGCTTATCTGAGCCAGGGATTTTCCATGGCCCTGGGGACACCGTTGCCTTTCGAACTGTGGTGTTGGTGCTGCGAGTGCTAATGGAGTGGAGATGTCCCTTCCTGGGGAACTCGCTGGGTTTCCCGTCAGGGTCCCTCTGGCTGTGGTCCATATCACTTCCAGGCGAGCTGCAGCGGTTGCTACTGTACGTCTTGGAAGCACCTGTATCGATCTTGACATGGTCAGGTGCTGCAGCTGACTTCTTCTCACTGATGTTTGTGGATCTGTGATCTTCTTTTTTGCTAAGAGATCCTCCTCTCTTGCTTTCCGGCTTCCTCAGCCTCCCAAACTGTTCATCGCTGCTGGTTCCAGCACACACGTGCTCTCTTGCACCAGCCTCAATCATAATGCTGTGTCCCACCACTTTGCTTTCTGAGGTGGGCCTGCCACCATCAGTGGTCTTATTTTTGCCTTCCGAATATCCTTTCCAAGAAGCCTCTTCATGCTTTGACCTGTCTACCTTTTTAGGACTTGCTGACCTTTCTCTTTGTTCTCCTAACCTTTTCTTTTTGTGACCGTTCACCGAAAGCTCCTTTGGTTTCCTTACATCATGTTCCCTCTTGATATCCCATGTTGGCTCTGGGCTTATCTGGTGAGAAGGGTCAGAGGGTGGGGCTATGTGTGATGAAGATAATGGTGAGATTATGTCTTCGAGGGAAAGAGCTACTTCCGGCAGACCTGGGGAGGTGGCAGAGGGAGCACTCCAGGAGTTTGGTTCGTCTGTTGTAACAACAAAGAGAAGAGAGTTAAGGGTGTGTTCAGCAGCACAGGGTGTGTATTGCACAGGCACACATATTCTGAGCAACACTGATACCCAAACCATATATCTGTTAAACCCCTCTGTTTCAGCTGAGGTGAAACTCCCAGTGGAGTCAATAGGGAGGAAAACAAAAATAATCTCTCCACCAAAAAAAAGAGTTCAGGAGAAGCAAGAACCCTGTAACTGCACATACTGGAAATCCCTGTCTTTTTATTTTTTCCCATACAGGTTCTACTTTCCTCTGCCTATGTTAAATTATTCTTAAAATAATAAAGCACGTGCTCATGAAACCAAATTGCCTCTTTTGTAGCTCTATAATGGATTTCTTAGCTGGGCAATATCAGCGCTGTCTCTGAGGACAAATGAGAAAGACTTTCTGCCATCTATTAAACATGTCCCTACAAGCATATAATAATTGACAAGAATTTGTAGCTCAGATAAGGTCATCATTGAATTCTGTCTCATACTTTTTCTAAACAGATATATTATTGCAGTGTTTATGGCCCCACAATTCTTACAGGGTACTTACAAAGCTCTGCCTTTATATCACAGCGTCAGGCGCTGAGGCTCCTGGTTGTGCACTTTGAATTTCTCCTGGTTACTTAGCCTCAACACAATATGGTTGGATTGTGCAGATCCTGCTTAATTTCAATAAACAGACATCTCCTTCGCTGAATCGCGATGATTTTCCTAATCCATTGGTACAATGGACCAGAATATTCTGAGATGCCTTTCTAATGCATATACATCCTAATTTCTTTTGATTAACATTCTGGCAGACAATGAATCCATCATGATTAATGACGGCATGACTCCTATTCTTACCCATCTACATAGAGGTTAGAGAAATCACTGAACTTGGCTTATGTCATTCTCTATTTAGCACCACTGCCTGGCTTTGAACAGTATGAGCAATAATCTGCCAGAGACGAAGGACTATCTCAGGAATCCATGGAAACGAGTTGGAACTTTTGGTAAGAGCTGCATATTTCATGTGGGACAAAATGTAACCCTCTAGCTAAAAATCAAGCATGGACTTCTGCAGGTCAGGACTAGTATCTCTCAGTGATACCAACTGCCCTTTGAAAGGTAACATGTATTTTTCTCAGTGCTACAGCTGCTTTCAAATTATCATGAAGATTCACATCTTGAAAAATAGAATGGGTTTTACTGCCTAGCCTGGGATCTGCAGCTTTCTTGACTAAAATGGCACTTTTAAGTTAATAGTTGGATTGAGTAATTGCTGTCTTGCAGATAAAAATAGGAGAGACAATAGTGAGGTGGGTGACGTAAAGGGAAGGAGCAGCACTGCTAGCTGAGGAGCTATTTATTTTCCCAGATGGTGTTTGTCATATGCTTTTGCATAATGAGCATATGTGTGGAGAGGATTAGCATTTGAGAGGGGTAGAAAGTACAAGTTCTGTGTAAGACAAATAAACACTGAGATGGGAATCTAAATGGGCTGAGGGTCTCAACTGAATTTAAAAAAAAAAAAGAAATCACACTTTCTTACCCTCCAGTTAAGGCTGAGTAATGTACCATCTGCTCCCTGCTTGGCACTCGAGCAAGAAAAAGATAAAAGGAAGGCTCAAGCATGTAGAGTGATCAGTTTGCCTACAAAAGGCATTGACTTTGATGGGTTTGTTCTTTACTTCTGCTCTTCAGCACCACTACCCTGGTACAGGACCACAGCCTGTGCCTGATGGGGGAGGCGCAGACCTCACCCTGGCTCTTTCTCGATTCAAAATCCAGAGGATCCCATTCTGTTTAGCACTTGAATCAGGGACTATGCATGGGGTTCAAGTCACTAAAACTATCCTGGGTCTCAGCATAAAGCTGCCTGTGTGCACCAGCAAGGTACCTGAGCAAGCTCTGAAGAAGCCACCTTGAGCTTTAGAAAATTGTTTCTACTTTTCATGGCATTGACACTCCTCCAGAGGGTAGAGGTGGTGCTGAGGGTTGGCCTGACCAACATATTTGTCTTAACTACAGTCTTATTTCCCAGTTGTCCATGAGATATTTTTCACTGAGTGGCAGTGAAGAGTAGTGGGCCATTATCCAATCTTGTGCTAGGTTTTGAGAGCTTCTGATTACAGCAATAGCTCGTTACTTTGGGTAGTATCAGCTGTACACCAGTAAAAACACCAAATGGCCTGGAGCAGCAAGATGCTTTCAGGTAACAAGAATGCCCCTGTGGAAAATGTGCCACTATGCTCAAATCAGCTGTTCCTCCTCAAGGAGGACAAGCCAGGAGGCCACCATTCAGAAGAATGGTGGAAAAAAACACCTCCTGTGGCTCCTCTGATGCATGAAGGACAAAATGGTACCAGTTATTTGTGAGACGCTCAGGGAAAGAGACCTGGAGGTAAGTGGCCTGCTGTTTTATTCCCTAGAGATGAGAGAACTGATTTATTAATGGGCTGTCCCCCTACACAAGTTTCTTTTTTTTTTTTTCTTATATTTTCTTTTTTTAAAGGCGGTAGAAAAACAACCAAGTGTTGCAGTGAGAAATCGTAGCAGGTTACAGTGTGCCTCAACAGAAGTGAACCAGTGTATCTCTTACATGTAGTAATATATAAATATAAGTGTCTATAAACTAGGACATGCCATATTATGTGCATTACTGGATCTTATCTCTCCCCCAGAAAACCCTAAAAAAAAGGACAACTTGGCCAACTAAACAAGAAAACTTGTAGCCACAGCTTTAAGGGAAGTTTGGCTGTAGGAGAATCCCAGGTGGGTCACTGGCTGCAGTATGTTTAAAATACTTGCTGGGAAGAGACATATATAGTCTGTATTTCCAGTGGTTGGGGAAAAAACCTGAAATAATACTATCATTTATATTCTCTGGCAATATAGCACTTGCAAGTAAAAATCAAATGACTTTCTTTAAAGTTTAAGTACTATCAATCTGACACAGCCAAACACAACCTAACCTGCTTTTTCTTTCAAAGGAAATGACATTATGTAGAAAGTCATCCTCAGCCTTAGAAGAAGTTAATGTCAGTAAGCCGTTGTAGCAATGTGTCACTCACTAGTGAGGAGAATACTGATGTGAGGGTATTGTAAGCAACTTCTCTCTAATGTTTGAACATTACGGGAAAATATAAAAATTACCAAAGTAGCGCAAAGTGCAGTAATATAAGTAATTTGTTGCTCAAAAGAAAAACCTTTTAAAGAGCTGTGTTCAAGCTATAAGGGTTCATTTGGACTTGTTCAACCATCACTAAAATGATTGCTTTTCCATAACAAATATAAACAGGAGAAAAATGCAAAATGTTATCCTGCAGAGCAGCTGAACTAATAATTTCTCTTTTTGCTTATACTCAGGTTCTAGCTGCATTTTGGAAAGGCTATTAATAGTTCAGATTTTTTTTTCTGTTGATCTAAAGTTTTTTATGAAACCTTTGTGTTAATTATGAACATAACCTACTTTTACTGTCTGTTATTCCAACATATCTCAAAGCATTTTGTAAACATACTAAACCAGGGACAGAGCACCAATTTTACTTTTTTCTCCTTTCACTTCTGGGAGGAACTGTTTAATAGAGCATGAACTACTAATACCCAAAGAACTTGCAAACATATGAGAAGGATATCACACTCAGTTGAAACTGCTGGGGAGATTTAGGGACAATGTAGTTTTAAATTTGTTTCTGACTTTGTCACCATGGATAACGTCCTTACTGTGAGAGAAATTGTTTTTCAAAGGTATACATCTCACTGAAGGCTAATAGATGCCTTCCTCCCTTCTTTGAAGGGAGAAAATCTCCTTTGACCTACTAATTTAGACAAGACAAATGAGCTGGGAGCAGCACTATAATTTGTCACCGTGATGGCATTTCATTTGGTGTAATTTAGTAGGTGTTTGCTGGGTGGTTTTTAGTTTCCACAAGCTACTGTCATGCAGGTTGGAGACACTTTTCCATGGGATGTGTAAGAATGACTCACCTATGACCTGGTTTTCATAACTCCCAGGCAAGGAGTAAATTGCTAACTGAGTAAGAGACACCACAGACACAAGACCTTGAGTGTGTGGGAGGACAAGTAGGAGATGAACACAACCATTTTGGAGGAAGAGTGACAAGGGGAAAACATCAGGAGCAGCAGTTTTCTGTCTAAAGGTTTTTTTTGTTTGAGGTAGAACTGCCACATACATGAATTATTTGTTTTGCTATGTCAGCTTACACATTTGATGGAGTGGAAATGAGGGCAGTACTCTCATGTGTGTCTATTTGCTACTCTCTTAACTAAAGCCCACTCTTCTACCTGGATTCAGTGCTTGCTGATGTCTTATGTCTGAACTGCTAGCAAAAGAAACCTGGCTTTACTGCTAATGGAGAAGAGAGCTCTGCCCATCTTAATTTCTGAGCATTGCCTAGGTACTAAGCCAGAGAAGAGAGCTCAGCCTACTGATAATGTTTATTTAAGTTCTTGCATTACTTATGTTTTCCTTACAGGTTGCCTTTCTAAGATTCTAGGACATGTCTGGTCTTTCTGTGCTTATCTGCTCTGTCAGGTTCTCAGGTCAAAAGAGGTTGGAGCTCTAATTTGTAGAAAGGTTCTCCCTTAACATCAACATATTTCAAATTAATTGCTTGGTAGTTTATCAAGAATGTGAGATTTTTCATTGGATATAATTATCAATAAAGTATTAATATTAATTTATTGAATAGTTCATAGTAATGCTAAGAGTAAAAATTATATCACATTTTATTACTTATGTACAAAATCTCAAAGCCTTTTTTAATTTTCAAATTATGTGAATAATATACAATATATTAAAGCTTTGAATGCTTTCATTAATCTGAACTAAATGTTTTCTGCAATGTCTAAGCAGCTGTTCTCATATTTTCCCAGAATTATTTTCCTAGGGAATCAAAGAGGTTTTGATTAAATAAAAAATATGGTGCTTTATTTTGCCCCCCACACACACTCTTTGTCTGAAATTATGGATTGC